AAGTATATCCCACCTGAATTTAGAGACCATCTGAAGAACAGATTTCATACATTAGGCACAAATGACCAAAGACCAGAAGAACTGTGAGATGACATCAAGAATATCATACATGATGAAAGCAAAGGTCATTAAAAAGACAGGAAAGAAAAAAAGACCAATGTGGATGTCAGAGAGACACTGCAACTTGTTCTTGAGCATAGCGATGTTAAAACTTTGGATGACATGGTGAAATAAAAGAGCAAAACAGAAAATTTCAAAGGGCAGCTGAGGTAGACAAAGTAAAGTATTATAAGGAAATGTGCAAATACTTGGAGTTAGAAAGCCCAAATGGGAGAACATGCTCAGCTATTCTCAAGCTGAAAGATCCAAAGAAAAAATTCAAGTTCCAGTTTTCAATATTTAAGGATTCTAAATGGAATCTGATTTTGGCACTATAGGATAATCACTGGACTGCTAACCACAAGGCTGGCAGTTCATACCCACCAGCTGCTCCTTTACAAGGTTACTTACTGTTAAGTCAGAACGGACTTGACCACACTGAACAGTAACAAAAGCAGACAAAATCTTGAATGACTCTGAAAGCATCAAAAGAAGATGGAAGGGGAATACATGTACCAAAAAGAATTGGTCAGTGTTCAATTAATCCAAAAGGTACCATATTGGACTTCTTCCTTCAATATCATCAGTTCAAGCACTGATGATATTGAAGGAAGAATTCCAATATAGCTGAGCATGTTCAACACTGAAGACATTGGCAAAAAGCATGGCTCCAGGAATTCACAGACTACAAATGGAAATGTTTCAACAAACACAGGAGGCACTCACCTCTCTATATCAAAAAATATGGAAGACAGCTACGTGGCTAACCGATTGGAAGAGATCCATATTTTTGCCCATTCCAAAGAAAGGTGATGCAACAGAACAATATCATTAATACCACATGCAAGTAAATTTTTGCTGATGATAATTCAAAAACAGTTGCAACAGTACATGGACAGAGGGCTGCTGAAAATTCAAGCAGGACATAAAATGAGGCATGTCTCTGCTAACATCAGATGGATCTTGGCTGAAAGCAAAGAATATCAGAAAGATGTTTATTTGTGATTTATTGATTATGCAAAGGATTTTCAACTGTGTAGATCATAAACTATGGATAACATTGGGAAGACTAAGTATTCCAGACAATTAATTGTGCTCATGAACAACTTGTATATAGACCAAGAGGCAATCTTTATAATAGAAGAAGGGGATGCTGACTGTTAAGCCATCAGGAAAGGTGTGTGCCAGGGTTGCATCTTTTCACCATACTTATTCAATCTGTATGCTGTGCATCTGAGAAACTAGATTATATTAAGAAGAACAATGCATCAGAACTGGAGGAAGACTCATTAACAACCTGTGATATGCAGATGACACAAACATGCTTGCTGAAAACAGAGAGGACTTGAAATATTTACTGATGAAGATGAGAATACAACCTTTGGTATGGAATGTACCTTAATTTAAACAAACTGAAAATTCTCACAATTGCACCAATATATAACATCATGATAAAAGGAAGAAATATTGAAATTGTCCAAGTCTTTATTTTGCTTGGATCAACAGTCAAGTGTTCATGGAAGCAGCTGTCAAAAAATCAACCAAGGTATTGTATAGACAAATCTGCTGCAAAAGACCTCTTTAAAGTAGCCAAGAGTAAAGATGTCACTTTGAAGACTAAGGTGAGCCTGACCCAAGTCATGGTATTTTCAATTGCCCCCCTATGATACCGGTATTTTAAACACCAGCAGGGCCACCAATGGTGGACAGATTCCAGATGAGCTTCCAGACTAAGACAGACTGGGAGGAAGGAGAGATGCACTACTTCTGAATATTTAGTCACCGAGAACCTTATGAATAGTAGTGGAATACTGTCAGCACCAGAATTTTGAATATTGAAACATGATGAAAACCACCAGAATATTGTAATATACATGAAAATAAATCCCTAATGTTGGAAGGCACTCAAAATAAGACTGGGGAAGAGCTGCCTCCTCAAAGTAGACTTAATAATGATAACATGAATGGAGTAAAGCCTACAGGACCTTCATTTGCTGACGGGGCACAACTCATAATGAGGAGAAACAGCTGTAAACATCCATTAACAATTGGAACATGGAATGCACAAAGTATGAATCTAGCAAAATTGAAAGTTGTCAAAAATGAAAAGGAGCACATAAACATCAATGTGCTAGGCATTGTTGTTGTTGTTAAGTGCTGTCGAGTATGTTCCAACTCATAGCTGCACTGTATAGGGTTTCCAAGGAGTGGATAGTAAATCTGAACTGCTGATCTTGCAGTTCAAATTGAACTTTTGGTCTAGTGCATTATCCCACAGTGCCACACCAGGACTCCATCATAGGCAATAGCGAGCTGAAATGGACTGGCACCGGCCATTTTGAATCTGACAACCACATAGTTTACAATGCTGGGAATGAAAAATTGAAGAGGAATGGCATCGCATTCATCATCAAAATGAATACTTCAAGACCTATCTTGAAATGTAGTGCTGTCTGTGATCATATAATACCCATATTATGTCATTGGGAAATATGGCCCTGATGATAGAAACAATGCTGGAGATTACATTATAAAAATTTGAAAGATCTATGATTTGTTAATTGCAAATACCTTTTTTAAACATAAAAGAGGACTATACACAAAGACATCAAAAGATGGAATACACAGAAATCAAATTTGCTACATCTGTGGAAAGAGATAGTGGAAAAATTTCATATCATCAGATAAAAGAAGGCCGGGGCAGACTGTGGTGTAGACTTTCAATTGCTCACATGCAAGTTCAGGCTGAAGAGAAGAAAATTAAAACAAATTCATGAGAGCCAAATTATGACTTTGAACATATCCCACCTGAACTTAGACAACATTTGAAGAACAGAATTAATGCTTTAGACACTTATGACCGAAGACCAAAAGAGTTATGGGGATGACATCAAGAACATCATACAAAAAGAAAGCAAAAGATCATTAAGAAGACAAAAAAGAAGAAAAAGACAAAAATGGATGTCAGAAGAGACTCTGAAATTTGTTCTCAGTGTAGAGATGCTAAAGCAAATGGGAAAAAATGAGGAGGCAAAATAGCTGTACAGAAATTTTCAAATGGCAATTCAAGAATACAAAGATAAATATTATCAGGAAATGTGCAAAGATCGGGAGTTAGAAAACCAAAAGAAAAGAACACGCTCAGCATTTCTCAAGCTGAGGGAACTGAAGAAAAAAATTCAAGCCTCGACTTGCAATATTAAAGAATTCTATGGGTGAAATATTGAATGATATAGAAACCATCAAAAGAAGATAAAAGGAATATCCAGTCACTCTACCAAAAAGAAATGGTCAGTGTTCAACCATTTCAAAAGGTAACATATAATCAAGAGCCAATGATTCTGAAGGATGAAGTCCATGGTGCACTGGAGTCATTAGCAGAGAACATGCCACTGGGAATTGATGAAATACAAATTGAAATCTTTCAACAAATTGATGAGGCACTGGAGGTACTCACTCATCTGTGCCAAGAAATTTGGAAGACAAGTACCAGGCCAACTGATTGGAAGAAATCCATATTTGTGCCTATTCCAAAGAGAAATGGAATGCAGATATCATCAGACAATATCATTAATATTGCATGCAAGTAAAATTTTGCTAAAGATAATTAAAAATTGGTTGCAACAGTACATCGATAGGGAATTGCCAGAGGTCCAAACTATACTCAGATGAGGGATATCATTGCTAAAGTCAGATGGATCTTGGCTGAAAGCAGAGAATACCAGAAGCATGTTTATTGTTGTTGTTGTTATGTGCCATGGAGTTGGTTCTGACTCATAGCGAGAGAACCTGTACAGGGTTTCCGAGGCTATAAATGTTTACAGGAGCAGAAAGCTTCACCTTTCTCCCACAGAACAGCTGGTAGTTTCAAACTGCTGACCCTGAGGTTCGCAGCCCGATTCGTAATCACTACACTACCAGAGCTCCTTAGAAGCCTATGTATATGAAAGGCAATGAACAAGGAAGAACGTAGAAGAATCAAAGCATTTGAATTATGGTGTTGAAGAAGAATCTTGAGAGTAGTGTAAACAGCCAGAAGGAAAAAAAATATATTGTCTTGGAAGAAGTACATCCAGAATGCTTATTAGAAGTAAGGATGGTCAGATTTTGTCTTTTGTCCTTTGGACATACAGTCAGAAGGGACCGGTCTCTAGAGAAGAACATCATGTTTGGAAAAGTGAAAGGTCAGGGAAAAGGAAGAAGACCCCGAATCCGATGGATTGACACACTGGCAGCACCATTGGATTCAAACATCACAACAATTGTGAGGCTGGCACAGATCAGGCAGTGTTTTATTCTGTCGTGCATATGAGTCAGAATCAATTGGGTGGCACCAAAGAAGAACACCATTGTGTATTTAAACAAATAATTTAGGTCTAACTAATCATTTGTTCATCACAAAGGGCATTATGTTAACCTAAACATACTTATTTCTTTTCTGTTTTAAAATACATGATTAATTTTTGCAGTATTTCTCTTGTTGTACCCATGGCTATTGTATGTATATATAAAGAGCTACTATTATCTTAAGGAAATATTCATTAAGCAACAAAACTTGAAGCCTATTAAAATATGAACTTGATTACTTAGCTCCAGAAATGACTCGGTAGGGTATAGTTGTCAAAATGTGTACTTTCCAAAGGTACCCCCCATCAATTATTTTTCATTCTTCACTGAAAAAAAGGTTCATAATAATCAGAACCTTTATATTCATTGCTTTATTTCTTATAAGGATCCTGTGATTTCATCTCCATTTACAGGTAGTTAAGCTCAGGCCCACAGAGTTAATTCAGCTTATTTTCATCCAAAATTTAAATCCATCTCCAATGACATAAAATCTTCTTGTTTTTCAGGTTTCTCTAATGCCCTCTTGTGCTTGTATATATATTTTTTTTTACCAGAAGGACACAGTGAACTCTCCAGAAAATTTAGAGGAAAAAAAGTTTACTGGAGAGGCCTCCATACCAAGTCCTAAACCCAAGCTCCATGCAAGAGATCTCAAAAAAGAACTTATCACGTAAGTGCTCTTCAGTGACATATCCTGTAAGATTCTGAACTTTAAAGGTTCAATTTCATAATTTTGAATAATAATACCATGGCTTGTATAGTTGACTTTAGATGTTTAATCTGTATCTATACATGTGCTCAGAAATGAGGGTTATAAAAAGAAGTATATGTGAAATGACCTCATGCTAAAAGAACTAACTAATCAGAATTTATCAGTCTAGCTAATTAAAACTCATCAAGCTACATTAAAAAGTATTGCTACCAGGGTTCCATTCATACACGCTCAGGTTTATTCTAAACAAGACATGTTTAAACCGGTCTCTGAGATCAGTAAATGGTTACAATTTATTTCAGTAACTCACTTGGTTAAAAAACAACAACAACAACAACAACAGGATACTTGTTATGCCATTGAAGTCCTGGTATGGTACTGTAGGATAAACACTGGACTGCCAACTGAAAGGTGGTGCCAACCCACCAGCTGCTCCTGGGTATTTAGCAACAACATTATGCCATGGGTAAAAAATGATTTTGAGGTCAAGACTAATAACAAATTTTTAACAAAACTCAAATGGACATCTTCTTAAATCATTCACTGAAGCTTTGCAATAAGTTTGTGGGAATGCTGTCCCATATAAAACAACAGTTTTTAGGTTGATCAAGTGTGTTAAGGAAGGTTGGAAATTTTTCAGAGATGAGCCAAGAGGGGAAGACCATCAACCTCAAGGAATGATGAAATTGTGACTGAAGTCCAGAAACATGAGGAAGAAGACGGTAGAATGACCACTGATATGATAGCTACTGAAATTGGAATCTCATATGGATGGTTGGACATGTTTGATTTTAAGGGAACATCTTTGCCTCAGCAAGCTTTTGGATGCCCAAAGCATTGCACAAAGATCAGCTACCTTAATGAGCTATTCTTTCTGTCAGTTTTTTTTTTTTTTTTTAATCAAAATGGAAGCTAATGAAGACAATTTTATGGAACAAATCATAAGTGGAACACGTTTCGGATTTATCAGTACCGTTCAGAGAGCAAGGCTTAATCAAAACTTGAGAGGGAATCTGTTGGGCCAGTAAAATTCAAGGCAAAGCAGTCAGCTCACATGGTATGGTGACTTTTTTTTTTGAGATTTTAAAACCTTGATAGATTTTGTTGAAGGACACAAGATGACTATGGGGCTTAAGAACTCTGGTAGGATAGTAGGTTATTAGTCAGGCTGCTAACCACAAGGTCAGCAGTTAAAAGAAAACCTTCCAGCTGCTCCTCAGGATTTCTGCTCCCATAAGTATTATAATCTTAGAAACCCTATACAGTGTCACTATGAGTCAGAACAGACTCCACAGCACATAACCACCACCATCATTATGAAAAAGTTTAAAGAAAATGAAAAACTGCATTGGTGACAAAAAGACCAGGAAAGTTTCACCAAGAACTTATGTTTTGTTGTTTTTTTCCCATCATGTCAATGTACTTGCAGTATGGGCTGTCCAACAAAAATTCCTTTGGGAATCCTTATCTACATCCCTGATCTTTCCCTTTCAGACTTCTTTTTGTTCCCATAAGTCAAAAAAACACACACACACAAAACAAACAATCAAACATTTAAAAAGAAAATGATTTGAGTCCCTCAAGGGTGCCAAAAATACAGTTTACATGTGGTGAAATCCGAGAGCCTAGCATTCTTCAGGAAAAATTTGTTGTTGTTGTTAAGTGCCATCAGGACAGTTCTGATTCATAGCAACCCTGTATAGGATTTCTGAGGAGCAGGTAGAAGGTTTGAATCTCACCCTTGAGGTTAGCAGCCCAATGTTTATCCTGTAGTACCAAACAGGACTCCAGGGAAAGGTTAGGGAGATGGAAATACTGCCTTCAGAAGCATATAGATCTAGATGAAAGATCTGTTGAGAAACAATAGCATCATAATTTGATATTTTTATTTACTAAAGATTTCTGTGATTTTCTCACAATAATTTTTGACTTGCCTTCATGTAGTGTTTACCAAAAGATGAATGGATAGCTAGACATAGAATATACATACAATCAAATATTATTCAGCCATAAAAAAATGGAGTTCTGACACATTCTATGACATGGATGAATTTTAAAAACAATGCTGAGTCAAGTCAGTCAGACACAAAAGGACAATTATTGAATGACCCCACTTTTATTAAACATATAGAATAAGCACATGTGTATTCATGATTACCAGGAGGGGGCAGAAAGGGAGTCATTGCTGAAAGGGCATGGAGTGTCTGTTTGGATAGATGAAAACAATTTGGTAATGGATAGTGATGGTAGTATAACATGATGAAAGTAATTAATGCCACTGAATTATATATTGAAAATGGTTACAATGCAACATTTTTAATAATTCATTTTTATTTTTGTTGTTGTTGAAAGTATACCCAGCAAAGCATACACTAAATCAACAGTTTCTACATATAGAAATCACTGGCATTGATTATATTCTTTGAATAGTTCAATCATTCTGACCTTCCTTTTCTGAATTTTCTTCCCACATTAAAATAAACTCACTGTCCCTAAATTTCCTATATAGTCTTTCACATTACCATTGTCAATTTGATCCCATGTATAAATCTTAAAAGAGCAAAACTGTTATTTGATTTAAAAGGACTCCAGGGGATATTTTTGGTTTAAATTTCAAGATTATCTTTGGGTTCTTTCACCCTCTATGCCTCCAGAAAGCCTATGGTTCATGAGCTTTCTAAATTAATCTCTGCATTTTCCTACCTAGAATCAGAATTCTGCAAAAGAATATTTTATCAAAAAGTTCAGTTGTGGTTGCTGGACACCATCCAGTTCTGATCTCACAGTAAAGGAGATAGTTGTTCATGAAGAAAATCAGACTCACATTTCTTTTACTCTTGATTCTTATTCATCTGTTGCTCCAGGCAAATAGAGACCAATTGTAACTTGGTTGGCCCCTTGCAAATATTTAAGAGCTCAGACACTCTACAGTCATCTAAGTGGTAAAACAAAAACATCACATACATCATTTGGCTAATTAACTGGAATGTTCCATGAAACTATGACCTTAAACCTCCAAACCAAGGGGTCAAAATCCATGAGACATTTGGTTATAGATAAGCAGCACTGGCAACTTTTAATTTTTGATATTCAACTTTTTACAGTTGTACACTAATTGACAGCACTTCCATTAGTCGGCAGTGTAACTCTCTACTTAAATAATATGATTTTCATCACCATAATCTGAATTCTCCTGCCCCTGGAAACCACTAATAAATTTTAATCTCTCTATGTATGCTTTTCTTGGTTTTTTATATAAATGAGGTCATAGAATAATTGTTCTTTTGTGATTGACTTATTTCACTCAACATAATGTCTTTAAGCTCCATCCATACTGTAGAATATATCAAGACTTCATTCTCTTACTCACTGAGTAGTAATCAATTGTGTATATGTACCACATTTTATTCATTCATCTGTTGCTGGGCATTTAGGTGGTTTTCACATTTTGACTATTTGAATAGTGCTGCAGTAAACACTAAGGAGCTCTGGTAGCGTAGTGGTTACGAATCGGGCTGTTAACCACAAGGTCAGCAGTTCGAAACTACCAGCTGTTCCGCGGGAGAAAGATGAGGCTTTCTGCTCCCATAAAGATTTACAGCCTCCAAAATCCTGTACAGGATCATTATGAGTTGGAACCAACTCCACGGCACACAACAACAACAATAAACACTGGTATGCAAATACCTGTTTACATCTGTGCTCTCAAGTCTTTTGGGGATATGAAGGTGATCTGGTTGCAACATCTGCTACCCCATTGATCACCAGGATTGATTCAACTGATTTTACTTGCTAGACAGGTGTCCTCTTCTTCTCTCACTGTTTCATGCACGTCCTGAAGTTTATGTGGTCAGTTGAAGAGGCCAACCTTCCCTGATAGAGGAGGATCATCCTTCAATCAAGGGTATAAAAGTATCTGTGCTCCTCTGCTACAACTGTCAAACAAGTTTTCAAGTCTTTTTGGTATATACCTTTTGGACTTGCTGGGTCATATGGTAGTTGTAGTTTTAGTTTTTTGAGAAATTGTTCTCCATCTGCAACAGTTGGACCATTTTGCATTCCTATCAACAATAGATAAAGGTTTTGATTTCACTACATTACATTTTTGCCAACTATGTTAATTTATGCTTTATTTTGTCTTTTATCTTAGTCAACCTCCAAAAACAAAGCAAAACAATTGTTGTGTCAATTCCACCTCATAGAGACCCTTTAGGATAGAGTAGAACTGCCCCATTAGGTTTTCAAGGTCATGATCTTTATGGCAACAGACAGCCACATCTTTTCCCCATGGAACCAATTGATGGGTTTAATCCCCAACCTTTTGGTTAACAGCCCAGTTTAATCGTGCACCACGAGTGCTTCCAGTGGTAGTAAAATTATATCTTACTGTGACTTTGAGTTGCATCTCTCTGATAGCTTATCACCTTCGGTATCTTTTCATGTTTTTGGAGACCTTTTGAATGTCCTCTTTGGTAAAATGTCTGTTCAAGTTTTTTGTCCATTTTATGTTCAGGTTATTTGTCTTTTTGTTGTTATGCTGTTAAAGTTTTGTATATATTTTGGTTGTTGGATTTTTATCAGGCAAAGGTTTTCTGAAGATATTCTCCCAGTTGGTGGTTTGTGTTTTTGATTTTTTAGCAGTCTCTTTGATGGACAAAACTTTTGAGTTTTCATGCAGTCCCATGTATTTATTTTGTCTTTTATTCTTTGTGCTTTTGTTATTCTTTTAGCTAATCCATTGGTAGAAGCTAGACCCAATAGCCTTGCCCCTGCATTTTCTTCTAAATTTTTCTTATCATTTTAGTTTTCACATTTCAATCTTTAATCCATTTTGAATTATTTTTGTGTATGTTGTGAATCATGTTTCCTGTTTCATTTTTCTGCATGTGAAAATCCAGTTTTTCCAATACCATGTATAAAAGAAACTTATCTCTTCCAATAGAATGGACTTAGTATCT